GAAGACAGTTGGCATTCTGGATATTGGTCAGTATAATTTTAAAAACTATATTAAAACTCTACAATAACCATTCCAGTGTATTCGTAGGTCATATGTGTAAAATGGTCACAGAACCCCCCAAAATGACACTACTAACAGAGAATAAATACGATTAACATCACAGAACGAAATTTGGTAAATAAAGTACAGTAAATGGCAATAATATTATCAGATCAGATCATAGAGCTATTCTTATTATATTTCTATGGATCAGATGCAGAGCAAAGAAACTAGAGAGGGAGGTATTCATAGTTATTGATAATAATGGTTGATTTGATTTGCGCGGGAGTAGTAGTACGAATTAAGGCTTCTTTACACAGTCAAAAGCCATGTCAGAGAGAAGCTTAGAACAAGTGCAAAGTGATAATATTTCAAATTGTATAATACAATCAGATGTTCCGTCAGTTTGCAAAGAAGAGCCCTGCTGTCTTGGAATAGATGAGGCTGGAAGGGGTCCAGTTTTAGGTAGGCCTTTGTCCCCAGCAGTGAGTGTCAGGAGGCTTGCTAGGCCTGGGCGTAGGAGTACTACTAGGCCTAGAGGCTAGGCTAGCCTAGTTAGGCCTAGGCTTAAACAAAGACTCCTGCTGTGTAGGCTGGTTTCGGTCCGGTCTGACTTCATTTCTTATCGTACATAGGTAGGGCCTAGGCTATAGTAGGCATTTAGGGTAAGGACTAGGGGCCTGGCATAAACTACAACAAAACAGCTAGGGCCTAGGCAGGCAGTTAGACCTAGCCTAGAGGCTAGGCCTACTCAATTATAATGTAGGACAGGCATTTTAGCACTTTGAAGTTTAATTATAGGGTGGGCTAGGCCTATAACTAAAGTTTCTGGTTTGCCTTTAAAGACCTATAATTCCAAGATGGTTGCTTTCCACTATCTTGTAAAAACGCAAAATTGCAATATGCTTGGCTCTAACTAGCCTAGAAGGAAAATAAGGATGCCATTCCTCTAAATATTACTGTAACCAAAACACTGAAATGACTATATTTTGAGAGCTTCAAAGTCATTCTGACCAATAAAACATTCTTGAAAAAATGCATAACTAAAGTTTCTGGTTTGCCTTTAAACTAAACTACTAGGCCTAGCTAGGTTCCTGTCTGTACCAAGTAAATCATTACAATATAGCCTATACCTATCGTTTAGTTTGGAATGTAATTTTTTTTTTGTAACTTCTTAGGCGGTGGCTCTTATTATAGCAGTTGTAAACCAATTCCTAATTCTGGATGTTCATGGACTTCTGTGTATGGATGGACAATAATAACATTCGATCAGTTTTTTACATTTCTTTATATTAACTATCAATTATTTTGAAGCAGAAAGGATGATGGGCGCTAATACGGTTTTGCATCTGGCCCTCAAAACAGTTACCAAATTATTTAAAACTTACAATTATTCAAAACTAACATGTTCTTTTATGATCTGACTTTCAAATATGCCACTTATTATTTCATAATTATGGTTTCTAATTCAGTTAATTAACCAATAATTAGGACGGTATATCGATAGTAACACAATCAACTGAGCTCCGCCGCACCACGGTTGACAACTGGAGGTTCCCAGTGTCTGTCATATAATTTTTGCCCAATTGTAATTTTTGTGACCAATTATTTCGCTGCATTAGGATTTATTTTGTAGTTTTGTCTCTTTGTATAATGTATTTTTCTTTATGAAGGTAAAATAAAAGCAAAATGTAGAATAACATTTTGAGTGGGCATTCGTACTATTTGCACTTAGGCACGCTTAAACTCAGCACACATCTATGGCTACCACGGTATATTTTTGCCCCGATTCTGGCAACACCGCAAAGTTGTTGACATGTACTACAAAGACATTAACCGTCCTAATTAATGGTTAATTAATTGGAAACCATAATTATTTGATAATAAGTAGATTGTAGGAAAGTCAAATCATCAAAGAATGTATTAGTATTGAATAATTGTAAGTAATAAATAATTTAGTAGTACTTACTGTACATTTTGGGACCGGATGCGAAACCATATTGGCGCTATACAGTATGATGTTGAGAAAGCAGGGAGGTTATTAATGGAGTGACAGGTCTAACTATTACTATTAGCACCGTAGACTACGGTCTACTGAAATCTTTTTTTTCTAAATGAACTTTACACACTACAGAAAAGGTAAAAAAAATAGTACCACACATTGAAATTTGTGGAAAAGACCTGACACCTTAAAATTGGTCCTGGCCAAAAAATGTCTGGCGGACAGATTTTGGCCGCAAAAATTGGTTCGCCGGACTATTAAATCGGTCCTCCTGGTTGATTTTAGCCAGCTAAAACAGGCCCCCGCTTGGATAAAATTGGTCCGCGTCGGCCTGGCCACTTCACTTGTAACTCGTCTGCTGCTCATAGGATATGATTGTTTCACCTGCGTGGAGTGGAGGAAAGTAATTCATGCTTCTCCCACACTTGCAAAGTCTTTTGCAGTGACAAAATGATTTGTATTCTTTTGAGGATGTGTTTTATCAAACACACCTGATAATGCATTTCCTATGCCTAAGCAATACACACAGCATGCATCATTTCAGCAGTTGTGGTTAGGCCTAGGTTTGGGCCTAAAATGAAACACAAGACTAATTTATTAGTTTTAAATATTCCGGATTATTGTGTGGGGTATTAGATCATACAATAGATATTCTAATACATGAAATAAAGGGGTCAGAATTCTTGGAATTCAATGCATGTACTTCGTCACAGCGTTAACCAAAAAAAAACAAGGGAAAAAAAACTAAAGGAGATTAACACAATTTAAGACCACATCGTTTAACTTCTGTTAGTACTTTTACGCCAAAGTTTACTGGGTTTGAAGCTTTACTTAATTTTGCCTATGATTTCACACATAACGAATGAAAACATATTATATAATGAGAGATAAGATATTTATCTATCATTTGATTTTTAAAAATTATGAGCAATATTATAGTAATACAAGGTTCTACTAAATAGACGCCGGACTGATTTTGGCTTATGTGGACTACATTTGGCATCGCAGAAAATTTTCCTGACAGACCCATCAACATAGTGATATCAGTTATTTTATAATAATGTAATAAAATGTAGTACTATAGTTTACTGTATAACAATTTTTGTTTACAGTTAACTTCTATTTAGCCTATGTTCTTTCTTCAGGTCCTATGGTGTATGGCATATGCTATTGTCCAGTTTCCGAGAAAGAAAAACTGAAAGACATGGGGTTTGCTGGTAAGTATATACCCTTAAATTAAAGATTGATCTTGAGGAAACACAGTTTCACTCTATTAGATAAACCTAGATAAACAAAAGCCTTTTCATTTCTGATACTCAGATTCCAAAACTTTATCTGAAGAAAAACGTGAAGGTTTGTTTACGAGTATAGAAGAGGCTGGTGACCTGCTGGGGTTTGAAGTGGAAGTCATATCACCTACATTCATTTCAAACAACATGCTTAAGAGGTTAGGCTTTAATCAGTATTTTATACTTGCATATAGTAATGTGGCGATTGATTAGCGGTTGGGGCAAGACTTTTTTATATCTTGTTTAGCGAAACCACTGCCTGCCAATCATGATGATTTCAAATGAAAATGAAATTTTATTTTTTGATTAATTAGCACACTCATCGCCACTAAAAATTGGAAATTTCAGGAAAAAATTTTATTTTTATTTTTATTATGCCCGCTGCTGCCTTGAAATCTCCAAAAATAGGAAATGGATATTTTTTCCTAATTATATAAATTTAAAGCATTTAATCCATCCCATTTCCATACTGTTCACATTCAACAATAACATTTTATTTTTATTTTCTCCTCCATCTGGATGTTTTTGGCAAAACCATTTGCTCAATAAGAAAATATAATTTTATATTTATTTTTTTCTGCCTTTCTCTGAAGATGTTCAAAATATAAGTTTTGCAAAACAAGGTATAAAGAAAGTGTTGCCTAGCTTTGCTTGTATTTTTGTATTTTTATCTGCATTTTTGTTTTCTCTTTGCTAACCCATGAATATAATAATAATAATAATAATAATAATTACTTTATTTAAACACGGAAAAACTTGATCACCCAAGGGTGTTTTTCATCAAGGCCGTGCAAGGCCATAGGTGGTAAAATATAAAAATACAAAAATACATAAAAAAAGTATAAACATTAAAGAATTTGTTTAAGTATAATAAATGTGATTAAAATGTGAAATTAAATAGTATCTTTAGTTTAAAATAAATCAAAAACATATGCATTAATTAATTTAATATACATACAGTAATTGATTAATTTAATATCAGAAGTTAGATTAGATTAATGATTTCTTTAAATTTATTAATATAAATTAGACTTTTCAAGTTAGTAAAATGCATTTCAGTAAACCAAGACTTCAAATATCTGTAGTATATGCAAAATTTCCGTAGCGCTGAAAAATGTGACTTGAGTGCAAAATATGGGTTGCGAGATTATTACTGGATGAAATTATAACGCTTTATTATAAAGTATCTGTATGAGGCTTAGGGTTGTTTTTAGTCATGAGAAGAAAGTACTTGGCTGTGAAAGATTCTTGAGCCAGTACCTTGAAATTTGAAGGCAGGCATATTTGAGGCTTGCCATTCCAATACCAGAGTACTGTATTAATACTTTTACTCATAACCTTGGTATTAGTATTAGTAAAGTCGATTCCAGTAAATAACCCATCATTTTAAAGCTTATGATGTGGAAAATGAGAATAAATTAAAAATTTGATACTGGTTTTCGGATGGCAAGCCTCATTTAATATCATGCACTTAAAATATAGGATTAGAAGAGAGCTTATACATATTGGTAATATTGACATCATTTTGAATCAAGTGTTTCCTTCTTTAAAGGAGCAAGTACAGTTTGAATGCTATATCGATGGATTCTGCAATCGGACTGGTAAAACTTGCGCTGAAGAATGGTGTTAATCTCACTGAAGTATGTTGGTACATGTATTCAATCCTTATCCTACAGTAGTGGATCTTTCTGCTAAGCCTCACCCCTTTGATATGCAGACCGTGCTTTAGGATGTATGCTAGCGATATTGGTCTCCAATATAAGTTCTCACAAAACAATTTAGCGTAATTGTACATAAACTTTTGTGGGAAAATGCGCCTGGATTATTAGCACTGTTCTGATTGGTCACTTGTTTGATTGGCACCCCAGAAAGATTCATTCAACTGAAAGGTTTTATGATGACATATCACATCATATTCACCACAGCACGTCATTAAAATTTTAAATTAATTATCAAATTATAATTATTATTATTAATATTTATTATTATAAGATTTGGATTATTCATGTTGGAGGTAAACTATTGTTATTGATATTACAGTTAAACTTCCAAAGATTCCAAAATCAATAGTATATTCTTAAGATTTGTATTTTAAAAATAAATTTAATATATTTTTTAGTTAGATTTACTGATAGATATTTTGCAGCAATGTTTTACAATATATCTTCTTTTATGAAATGCAAAAACATGAAAATGTTAAAAATTCTGATTCTCGAATATTTTGGGTGCTTGTGGGAAATTAGAAACACATATTTTAATCATTAATGTAGGTTTATGTTGATACTGTTGGACCTGCTGTAAAATATCAAGAAAAACTGCAAGGTATCTTTCCAGATTTAACCATCACTGTGGAATCTAAGGCTGATGCAAAGTTCCCTATTGTTAGTGCTGCAAGTATCTGTGCAAAGGTAATGTTTACATTTTATCCATTCATATCTACACCAGTGCCGTGTGATCTAGTAGTGTTGATGAAGGTAGTGTGGCAAATTGATTAGACGATCAGTTAAGTCAGGGACACTGTAACCTTCAGTTATAATATCGGCGCTGGTTCATACAGCTCACTCGCCAGTGGTTCCAGTGGTGGAACTGGTGGAAGTCTTCCCGGATATGGACTTTAAACCGCATGAAGATGAAGTAGAGGCTAAGTTGAGTAATTAGTTTGCTAGGTGATGTGAGGTGATTTTTTACTCACCTCGCTTATGCCATGAAGCACATAAGAAGTCTGGGGAAGTGCCAGCTTTTTACACAAGGCCTGCATTAGGACTGGGGTAGGGTTGGAGAAATCGCCTGTTCTACTGGACTGGTAGATTCTGCTACCACAATACCGTACATTCTTTCCTAACACTGAATGTGCACCTTCAAATCAAACAATATCTCATTGATTTCTTTCTTTGCAGGTCGTACGAGATAGAGTATTGAAAACATGGACATTTTCTGAGGGTGACCAGTATACCCTGGCTAAAGATGTATCTGGATACCCATCAGGTTCGGGACACTTTTATTTCAAACAAAATTGAATTTCTCATTTTGTACATTTTAAAATAACTAGAAGAACTAGAGAAGTCACTTCATAGAGTGCATACCTCCGACCTGTGCCTGAATACCAACCATAAGCAGGCCGTGTATGAGGAGCAAAACTGCAGCATACCCTCAAGAAAATAATGGAATCGTCCATGTTCAGGTACATTATTTCTTGAGTGCTGCCTGAAGATGAGGGGAAATTCCATTATTTTCTTTTATGCTTGAGGGTAAATAATTGAATTTCCGTGAAATGGTGTCTTTCTTTGATTATTATGTACCATTCCACTAGATTTTATTAGTTTTTGTGTAATCGTGTTAACAGGCAGACAGAAAGACAGCAATGAATACATAACCTCCTAGAGTGAAGGTAAATACATGTATTGCTTCCTGTTCCTGCCAATTAACTGACATTTGAAAATACTATACAGTACCCTAATTTTTAATTAGTTCAACACAACATATCTTTAAAAAAAAAAATCAGTAGTTATGGTATTTTTACATTTATGTTTTTAGATCCAAGTACGAAACAATGGCTGCGTGAAAACATTGATAAAGTGTTTGGTTTTCCGAGTGTGGTACGATTTAGTTGGTCTACAGCTAGTTTCATTCTAGACGAGAAAGCTGTTAAAGTGTTTTGGTATGCAACTCTTCTATATCAGTCACCACATGATATTTATATTGGTTCACAACATAATAAATAATAATAGTGATACTAATAAATGGCATGTTTCGACAAGTCGCACGTCATCATCAGGGAATGGTGCCTACCAGTTTGTATGCCACTGGTCTGATGTATGGCAGATAAGCAAAATACAAACGCAAGTCAAGTATATTAAAGCTAAATATTGTCAGATGTTTACCATACATATCCGTGTAATGATCCTGACACAAGGGCATTCCACTAATCTGACCGGTGGTATCAAAAAGTGTAGAACTGCACGAGTTCCAACTCTCGTGGTTTCATTGGAATGTAATCCTATCTCAAAAAGTACTGCGACGAAGAGGCGTGTCCTTAAAATGCAAGTTTCGATCAAACCCTATTCAAATTCTAATAGGGTGCCCCCTACCTCCTGCCAGTACTTTTTTAACATTCCATTGCGTGTGCATGCAAAATCAGGGCAGTCAGACCTAATTCTATACTCTTTGGTAGTATATAATCCTGCCTCCAACTAGGATGTAGCGCTATTGCCACATTTGTAGAATTCCATACATTGCAACAGTTGTAGAATTCCATACTTGCTTTACATCTGTAAAAAAAAAACCCTACAAGTAAAATTATATTTTATTTTATTAAATTTTGGGGTTTTTTCCGAATTTTTTAAGAAAGCAGTTTTTAGCCATTGCATTTCTCAGAGACTTTTTAAGCCTTGGATTACGATATACGGAGGCGGCACACTAAAACGTGATTTAATTACAGCAAAGTTGAACTGTACTTATTTTCAGATGAATTGCCTAGAGCTCTTATTCTTAATCTGATGTTTTAAATAAAAACTCATTATTTTTTATAGGGATGATGAAGATGAAGATGAGGATACCAAGGGAACCAAATCAGTTCTCTCTTACTTTGCTCCAACAGACTCTGAAAAGTTTAAAAAACACAAATTCTTTGAAGAAAGACATTTAACTCAGGTTACCAACTTTTGATGAATTAACCTAAAAAAAAAGTATTAACCATTCCACTTAGCCCTGCCCATTGGATATTTTCCTAAAATCTGTCAGAAATACTGTAGTGCTATGGTTGCCACTCCATGAGTCACATGTAGGTCATGGATAAACTTTTTAGGGCCATCGGGTCACATCCGTGTCTCAAAGAAAAAAAGTAAAATAGGTGTTAAGGAGTGTTGCAGTTACAGTAAAACTAAAAAATCGGAGGTTTCTCAGAACATTGAACCAAAACTTGTGATTAAACAATTTAATAAAATGTTGTAGCTATATTTTTCAAATTTGTGTTAAATGTCTGCTTGTGTTTTGAATTGATAAGCTTGACAAAACTGTGGCACCAGAAATTTGCCGACAAGGGGTCAGATGTGTCCGGCGGAGGGGTCCTAACCAAGGCGACGACGGAGCCTCGGTGGACGGCCCGGAATAAAAAAAATCCTTGTTAGGCCCCATGGGGAGAGTTTTTATGGCTTAATTTGGTCCTAAATGTGCGTTTAGGCCTCAATAAGAGATTGGCAATCAATAATATTATTATTACAGTATTAGCTTTATTTGGATAGACAATTATTATTACACTATTATTATTACAGTATTAGCTTTATTTGGATAGACAATTATTATTACACCACTGACCCTGAGTAGGCCTTGTTAAACCTATTTTCCACAAGGCCGATTTATTCGTGCAAATGGAAAGTGTTGGCTCATGCATTTACGTTTTTATCAGAGTTTTTGCTTGTGAAAAAATTTGCAACCAATCAGAGCCCAGAAAGCGAACCGACGCTGTTGATTCACACGAATAAATTCACACAGTGGAAAACAGCCTTAAGCAATACATCACTGCAGGTTTTTTTTTTCCCAACACGTGATTGAACATCTCAGCCAGGTTTTGATATGCACTGCTCTTTATTTTTGCATCATTGCTCAGACAAGTCTGGTAAGCAGACTAATATTTTAATAATGTACAAGGAATAATTATAGCAGAACCAGAGTTTACAATCGTAATTGAAGGGTTCTTTATGCCATTGTCATAACAGAAATGTACCAGTATCTTGATATACTGTATCATATAGGATGACATTTTTTAGAAGTGGGATAACTCTAGGCCTTGGGTCATGAGAAGATATTGAAAATTTATTTTGGGTTCTAAAAGGTTGCCGACTGCTATGAATATTACAATCCTGTATTAGCAGTGTATTACACATTTATTCTTCATCCATGGAGAGAAAAAATAAATATGATTTAAATGTGCATCTTGGACTATAAATGTGTTATTAGTTGATATGGAAATGAGAAACAAGACTATGTATTGCATGAATCAACTGGATAGGGGGATAATTTTCTTTCCCACCCAGTTTTCCCGGAAAAATGAACATTGTAAGATTGGCCATCATATGTCATTTCAAAACCACTTAAAAAAAACAATGCATTTAACAAACTTTTTACATTTGTAATAACAAGCATATGGATAGAAACATTATCTGTTAATGTGTGTTGTGATAAATTAATTATATTTCCCCCTAAAATTTTACTTTTCCCCCTCACTTGATTTCAGACGCTGGCACCCCTACTAATTGGAAACTGGTGTAGCTTTTAGAGTGCAGGGTGCATGTATTTTTAATGATGAGAAGTAACAGAATACAGTACATGCTACCGTATAGGTTATTCATGTAATTTATTTACATATAGCATGAGCTGTTCAAAAGAATGCTTTATCAACAATAGCTACAACAATGATCACTAGAAGAATCTAAAAATACAGTTCTGTGTATATACTAAGTACTTTACCCATAGACTAATGTACAGTATACTTTCCCACCAACTTAACCTATCCTACTTGCCTTTTTTGTTATGTGAATTACTGAATGGTAGTGGCCAGCAGATTAATAATATTACAGTAGAGTATTTACCCAAGAACTAGTGTTTAAAACTTGCAAGTACATAGACTAATCTGTATTTTTACAATGTACATGACTTTGGTTGTATCAAAATAAATCACACATTAGGCAATCTACTGTATATCAAATATTTAGCTAATAATAAAGACCACATAGAAATAAATATGGTTAAACATACTGATCTTATGATCACTATATAATGTATTATGTTGTATAGGTTGCCCATTCTCCCAACAAATCATGTTCTTTCAAATATAATAAACATTTTAAAATTTAAAGTAAAATACCAAAATAAAATCAATTACTTGTGTCATAAAATAACTTTATAATTAAAAGTTTATAACAAGAACTAGCTATAATTAAAATCAACATAATACACTTAGAATTAATATTAACATAAAAACTTTGAAAATTTCTATTTACAATACATACTAAGATGAAAATTAGTTTGCACAGTAAAATTAGCATGGTAAATATTTTAAAATCAATAAAATAAATAGTCATAAACTTCCATTCCCATACTACTAACAGTATTAAAACGTTGTTCCCTTATCGATATACTGTAGGATAAATGCTTCAAGCATGGGTAAACATTTAATTTCTGTACTGCTTGCCCTGGTGCAGTATGTAGTTGTTTTATGTACTATTTGGAAACATCACTCTTCCAAATGTATTTCAAAGATTTATTTTCAACCATTATATTATTCCCAGTAAGCCAGTTATTTGTTAACCTTTTAAATAAAAATATAAAACTACATAAAACCTGAAACTTTTTTCAGTATAAAACAGATTTTTTTGAATAATTGACTGGATATGTTCATGATATACATTGGTGATCATCACAGTCAACTTAACCTTTGATCGCAATAATGCTTCTGCAAATCAATGATGTCATCAAATGCCATCACAGTGATGTCATAGGATATAATGATATAAAAAAATGACTGGGAGATCAAAGTACTGTACAATGAATTCCTCAGTGGTGGTCCTCTCCATCATTTGGATGTCACTATAAAAGTTTGTAATAGCCTATCAAGAAGCATCTGTTAACATCTGTATTAACTCATCTGTGGCTGCTAATACAGTATTGCAGTTGTCTTGACAACAGAGAAACTTGATCATCTGACTCATACCTCAGCAACTCTTCTACTGTTAGTACTCTGTAAGAAAAATATGTTGCGATTAAAAATCTTATGTTGGCCTTTTTTATATTTCTTGTTTTGCTGGCATGCAAAAGTTTGTACTGTGCCACCCCAGTTACTGGTATATTGCTGCCAATTTCCCACAAAACAATAGTGTAAACATGAATAAGCACATGTGTTTATGAGACAACTAATGTGTTTGTAGAACATGTGCATATTCCTGGCCCAGTTCTGATTGGTCAGTAAAGTTTGACAATGGTCCATTACCAAATGCTGAAATGAATAAACATGAGCGAGTACAAATGTTTTGGGCCACCAGTAGTTGGGAGTCAAATTAGGGGAAAAGTCAGTATCCTATATACTCGGTGAATTTGTTACCCCCTGTACAGTACTTTCAGTAATAGCAAGTGTGTGTAGTAGCCATACTACATACCATTTGTCTTGTCATGTACAACCGTCCACTTTCTCCACCCTTACTAATAGCTCTCCCTTCATCATGCTGCCGTTTCATCGGGCTATTAACTGATGTACGTGGTGCAGGTACTGGCCTACTAGAAGATGTGTGATCACTTTTCATCCTTGTGACAGGCTGGGGTCTGTTTCTTGCCTCCTTTCGTGCCTGGATGGCCCGAGACCGTCTCGTCCGTGGAGAGTCTTTGCTGGTATTTTTGTTGGCCTCTGATTGATGCTGACTGGATAGTGGACTTGATGAGGTTCTTGTTGTCTGAAATGTGATTTAAAATAAGATAAAAAAAAATACAATACTTGCATACTGTAAGTACACTAATCATGGAATGTTCTATTGTTCATTAGCATTGGTGTTGTTATTTAATCATGATTATGATTATTTACCCTTTGTTTAGCATCCGACATATCTTGATATATTGTACGTGTTATTTTAATTGTCCGTGTAGGTGTCGAGCTCTCCGGCGTTAGATTAAAAAGTTGCGACTTCAATTCATGCATAACTTGTCGTTCCGCATGGAAATGCTTTCGAACCTGTGAAGAAACAGGGCATTGAATCTTAATTTAAACTCTGCATGTTAAACAGGTCAAGTTTTATCCAGCCCCAAGCAATAACACAGCATTTGTGTAAATATTCAAAATTGGGAAAATACTTTATTATGTTTTTGAAAATGCCTCTGGCCATTGGCATAAAATACATAGGTCACAGTACATAAAGTTAAAATGTCAAAAATCATTTCCAAAGTATATATAGTGCTGTACAGTATGTAATTCATCCAAACATACACTATGGTATATTACTGTAATAACATCTAAAATTTAAATAAAAACAGTAACTTGCCTCAGCATCATTTTCCGGGGGTGCTGGAGCTTGCCTTTTCTTCTTACTTATAAAACGATTTTCCATATTCTTCTGCAAAATTAAGAAACAATGGTAATATGTCGGCTCTTTGTTATGCTGCCTTACTAACAATTATATGCTCTTCACATTAAAATCTTAGGTCATAAACCTATCTATTGTGCCAATAGCTATTGTTATTTTCACTATAGATACACATTAGATTTATTTATTAAATATTATTTATGTTGCATTATCTGCAGTACTGTACTAATATATTATTTTAATGTTTTCGAACCTCAAATTTCATTCAGGGTACTTTGAAAAAAAAAAAAAAGAAGCAAACTAACAAATTTGAACTTTGAACAAATGCCTATGAAACACATTCACAGCTCCCTGGGCCACTATCTACAATAACAAGTGACTGTTGCATTAGTATTCCAACCTACATGTGCCCATTATACCTCCAGGTAGAGAAAGGGAGAGAAAAGTGCTTTGCCCATGGACAAAAACGAAGTGAAAAGAGTTTGGATTCGAAAACCATACTAATTTTTTTTTAATCTGAAGTGCAACAAATGCAAATCCCATGAATAAATTATAAATACCATTATTAAATACTTACAACAATAATTTCCCCTAAGGACCGACTTCTTCCATGCTTCCGTTGCCTTTCTCTTGCATAACTATCAGCATCTGTTCGTATTCTAGTCGGAGTTCCGGGCATATGACTATTCTTCATAAACTGATGAAATACAATAGAATAGAAAATTTAATTACTTATACATACAAAAACCCCCCACAAATAAATTTGCTGTGTGCTGTTATCTTTTAATAAATAAACCACATTTAGAAAGACGAACGACGAATATGTTGAATATAATATTAACAATGGAATTCATATCTTTAATCAGACAGATTATATTTATATAGGAAGGATATATTATATATATCTGTCTCTTATACACATCTAGATGTGTATAAGAGACCTGTTTTTTCCACATCAAATACATATTAATAATTATATACTTCATCACCCAGAATGCAATGGCTTTCCTAACCTGTTTCATAAGCTTGCGTTTCTTAGCACTGGGTGGCATTGATTGGACGTCACTGTAGAGTTGAGATAAGGCATCACCAGTGTTGTTCAGTTCATTCTTGACCTGCACTGTAGCCGGCTGTGGGCCACTGATTACAAGCCCGCTGTCTGCTTCATCGCTAGCCTAAATCAAGATACAAGATTAATTGTTTTAAAGAAAAATAATGTCAGCTTTCATGATGTTCAGTATTCACATGGTCAAAAACATGCTCAAGCAAACAAGAGCTGAGCTAAATTTGCTTTGTGGCTAGATTCATCATTATTAACTGTACCTTCGTTTCTTCCCACACCTTGTCTTCTGAGCAGTCTTCAATGGCTGATTCCTTTCCACCGCTTTTTACAAACTTTTCGCAGCGTATTTTGATATGAGCAGGAACCTAAAACAGGATTCAAGATTTGAAAATTTGAAATGTACAGATTAATTAGTAATATACAAATACATATGAAACATTTAAAATACTCGATTAAAATTCTTCTCAACAATAATAATAGTAACAATAATAATAATAATAATAATTTAAAGAACACATGTATCAGGTTGATACATTCATTTATTATACTGTAAATATTCCATGATTTTCAAGATTGATTTTTTATAATGCTCAAAAATCAATTTACAGTACTAATCCTGGGCTACTTTTTGACCAAAACCTCATGGTCTTTTCCTAAAGCAACCAAAAAATCTAAAAACTATATTTTAATTTTTGTTTGTGTTATTGTAATTATACTTTACTTACCTGTAAACAGTATTTATTAGGAAAAAGAATATTCACAAAGAATAAAACAACATGAAAGTAGCAAGGTTTTAGAACATACACTTTTGATATTATACAGAGATCCCATATCACCTGTTTTCAGTACTGTACTGTATTCAAAAGCATTATTCTCCTTTCTGTACCCATAGATAATATTGAAGATACAGGTAAAACCAACAGCTAAATTCGAAATTTCATCTACCAAATGAAAATGTGTTCCATTTCTACTAACTTTAAAATAAACAGTAAAGTACCAGTACAAGAGAGTAACAGGAAATTTCACTAGACAGACGTCTTGTTCAATTTGAAGGCACCTAAAGCTCACACCCCCAGAATATTCTCTTGGAATTTAAAATCCTTATGATTTGTTCAGGAATTAGATACTTGGAATTCACTCACTGTCTTTATGTACACTAACTCCTTTATCAATCTGAAACATTCTTCAGGTTTTGAGCTTTAGGATTGTTCTCTTCTGACATTTCTACCACCAGTTGTTACAGCATGCTCCCATTTCCTATACCACAGCTTTGCTCTTACGATTTTAAAACTATCCAGATTTTTGCACCATTACCACTTGTTCACAATTTCCATTTGAGGCTTACATTCCCAAAACCAGCAATAGTGTGGCCAATACATCAAAATTGGCATTTTAATATATAATAGTCATATTCTCCGCACTTTAAGCTTTAAAATATTGGGCCATTTTACTGTCTCTCTACTAAAGTAGGCCACATTCTTATGCTAATTACTCAGTTTACCATTTAACAACAGTATGCTGGTTTTGGGATGGCAAGCCTATTTTTTTTGAAAATTTTGGGAGCTTATCAGAAAAGTTTCTATTTGTATTCATGGCAAAATAATACGCAATGTTTACTTTTGTAATATAGTAATTATAGATAATAATAATTTTGTACCCTACCAAGTTTTATGTGACCATCTTCTGTGATATACCCATATATGGGCATGATGTCGCATCATACCCAAATGAACCAATCACAGGTATGTGACATAAAACTTGATAGTATGGAAAAAGCTTTACTAAACAAAACACCAACTATAGAGAGAAATACAGAAATGATGAATATTCTCCTACCCACAGTAACCTCTCCCCCCCCCACCCCAGACCCTGAACAGATTTTTTTAGACAAATTGGGAAAAAAAAATTTCACTAACAGGAAAGCATTTTCCCTCAAACCAGATTTGAAGTGAATTAGTGTCCACGCTCTTACTCAACCCACATATTTTTTCCCCAATTACCAGAGGTATACCACCAAGATATACCAGAAGTGGTACCAGAGGATCATTACCACTTGGTCTGGAAGTGTCAGGTACGGTGAGTACTGCTGAGGGTACTTGTGACTCTCTGCTATCTAAAGTAACATGCGTGGAAATAATCTTATGACCGATTTAGACATCATCAGACAATTTTAGACATGTAATTTGTGCATATTATTAGTAATAAAAGCATTAATACACAGGGGTGATGGTTAAAAAATAATTAAATATTAGACCGATGTAGATGTTTGTCTACTGTAATACCCACCAGCTTCTGCTAGTAAAAAATATATAATTTGCTTCTTTGAACATGGATTGAAAAAATTGTTACCATTACTGTATTGTTACGTGCAAGCTTATTGGTTTATTATTAGGCCAAATGAAAGCAAAAACAAATTCTAAATTTATAGCTCACCTTAAATATCTGCTTGCAGTTTGTGATCATAAATTCCACAGCACAGTTGAGCATGTTCACAAAGTTTTGGTCTCGAACATCATCTGTTGTGAACTATTTAAAAAAAAAAAAACCACATAATCTTAAACAATTTAAGCCTTGTTGGCATAATGCGCTATGGTCTGATATATAAGTAAATGTTTTTCTGTGCAGGTTGAGACTCTTGTGAAGAATATCTGCGATCTGCCCTTATAATGGCATCATGCTATTACACAACAATTTTATAGTCAGTTGGTAAACTCATATTTTTTTATTTTTATTAAATGTGACCCAAGCTCACAAAAGGGCTGTAAACTCGCACTGCACTGTATTGAGAAACAAGCCTCAATACCCAGAATAGGGCGTAGAACGTGAATTTTGTGTGAATTGGGTTTTTGTGTAATAAATAAAGTATAACTATTAATCTTAGTATTCCCGAAGTTTCCAACTGTAAGAGGTAAAATTTAGCCCTTTTCGGATGGAGCTAGTGAAAAATGAAAGAAACCTGCCGAAAATAAAAGCATTTTTCTCAAAACTTGATTTAAGAAAGATGACAATTATTCAAACGGTCATAACTTTGCTTCCAGACACCCGATTGAGTTCATTTAACTGTCATTTTAAAGTAAATGATATGTTCTATGCCATTATAACAAAAACTCATTTTGGCCTAAGAACGAGTTTACAGTCTGTTTGTGAGCTTGGGTCACAAATGGCATTTATAATGTTTTATACACAATGTCTCAAAGAAGGGTCTTTGGAAATATTGATAAATATACACAGCATGCATTCTCTTACATTCCCTTGTAACGATTAGCATAGATCAAATACATTCAACATAATAGGCAAACTTTTTAACGGCTTATTTATCAATTATTGTTTATAAAAGAGCTTTAGAGGAAGGTACAAACAACTAATATAATAAATGAAAAGCTGCGCACTCAATGCGGCCATCAGCCGATGTGATTCTATGGAGAACGCAATGCCACGACACAAGCATTTGAATGATTAGCTCAGACTTCCACCATTGCGCCGTCTAGCGCTCGCAGGTAGTGGAGTTGGATTTGTTGTACGACCGTCTCAACACACAACGAGTGAGTGCCCAACCTAAGATGTAAATTAACGTTAGTTTTATCAAAGAGGAGAAATACTTTATATATAACTTACATATCTTGGCCAGAGAATATGTGGAGCAAACATGACACCCAAGTTGAAGGCGGTCATCTTGCTCAGCTCATGTTCTTCTGTGATTTGATGGAGGAGATCCAGAAGATCTTTCATCAGCTTGTAGTTGTTGACCGGAAGCATTAACATGAGATTTGTAACTGCCATTATGTGTTCGGTCCTGCGCTTCTCATACAGTTTCTTCCGCATGGCCGGATCACTGCTTTTGAACTGCTCGTGCATCTTGTAAGTTAATTCTAAAGAAAGAAGTGATTTATTCTTTATCATTTTATAATAAAGAGGGAAATATCAAATCACTATTATCATTATTTTATGAATAAAAAAATTCAATTTATTTTCCAAAATATAAAAAAAATTGAACGTTGCTTACTAACCTGCTGCTTGAACATGAGCGGTGTAATGCCGGTCTGTCAGTAAGGGTTCCGGCAAATCCCCAAGGAATGTCTTAAGTACACATGCAACATCATGCGGAGTAAATCGATCACTGTCCAGATCAATAACAACACCTGAGTTAATCTTTTCCTTTAGCAACCTTTGCCTCTCAGAGTTGCCGGGGACTCGGAATATACCTTCTTTTGTTACATCTGTAGAAAGATAATAATTGGCAAATATAAAAATGTATATTGTGTACAATAAGGTAGATATTAAACAATTTGTTATTAGAATAGGTTGATATAATACATTTAATAAATTGTGTTTTTCAAAGTAAAATCTCATTCAGCTTTGTTGCTGCCAGAATTATTTGATGGCCAGATAAATTGAAAAAGTCGGTCTTGGCAGGGTTTATATATTTACTGTACTGTGTTTCTCTCCATTCAAAAAATACAGTTGGATATGGTAATTAAGAAAAGAAAAGAAACTCTATTCCTGAAGACGGTCATCTATCATTCATGATTAAAAACTTTACTCATTCAATTACACCCCCACCCCCCTTCCTCCCCTTGAAACACTACACAATAAAATAATGATTTTTGTCATCTTGAGATCATTATTTTATTTTTTCATAAAAGATGTCTATTTTTTCTAGTGCACAGGTCGGCAAAGTGTGGCCCAACAGTGATTTTTTTGTGGCCCGTGAAAATTAAATATAACCCTATGTGTGCAGGCCGCCAGACATTTATGGCTAGAAAACACCTTGTTTTTTTATGGCCCGACACAGACCATCTGTAAAAAGTATTTTAAAACTGAGAATAAAGTGGAATAAAAGCAGAGCATGAACAGTGTTAAATCAAAAATTATCTTTGGCTCTCCGATCGATTTTTATGCTCATACCTGCTCTATAGCATGTTTTTTACTCTGGCAAAATACTTACATTGCTTCAAAAACTCTATAAGCAGACGGGCATGACAATACCCTTCCTCTGTTAAAGGTGCTCCAAACACACCTGTAGAACTTGTTCCTGAAAATACAGTAACAATACATTCATTGTACACTATGGTAATACAGATGGAGTCGATGGTTGTGTGTGGATGTGTGTGTGTGTAGAAGATGGTAGGAAACTGGAAGAAAACTTACACAGGGAAATTAAATAAATTTAATTATATACCAAATTGTCTTTTGACATTATCAATACAACTTCAGCTCAGTGATGATGATCAGCAATGATGGTGATTATTATGATGATGATAATGATAATGATGAATAAATGATGGTGATAATGATGATATGATAGTAATGATGATATATTGTTCATGAAATATCTGCTTGTCGCTTACCCTTTTTCTTATTCTTCTGGAATTTCTTAACAATTGTCTTTCCCTGCCGTACATCAACTTTTCCAGCCAAGATCTGTCCTAGGCCCACTGGTCCATTGAAGTCCAGCAAGTTTGACAGCTCAGTGCAGCACCACTCAGTCAGCTTCTCCGGGTACTTGTGTTTCATAACTTCCACATAATGTAAAGGGTTACACAAGAGTTGACGAGCCATCATCTAAATGCTGATTTCATATGCTGATTTCTGGTAATGACAGGCTATACAATAAATGATATTGACACACAATTATTATATTAAAATAAAACGCATCCTACAAAGGTTCCTGAGTAAATTTACAGGATAAAGAACAGGCATTTAAAGAATAACCAACTGTTATTGTGAAACAATGCATCATCATGAAATGGGTGCAGGTCAACTCGGCCACAAGTCAACTAGGCCACAGTCAACTCGGTCACAAGTCAACTCGGTCACAAGTCAACTCGGCCACAAGTCAACTCGGCCACAAATCAACTCGGCCGAAAAAATTTCGGCTTCTGCCAACTCGGCCACAAGTCAACTCGGCCACAAATCAACTCGGCCACAAGTCAACTCGGCCACAAGTTATTTAATGTAAATCTAAGTTTTTGCAACATTTTTCTTCAATATA